TAGAATGAGATAACATTTCAACCCCTTCATTCAAGCAATATGACAAAATTAAAAGGTTATACATACCATTTAAACAACATAGGTAAAGGGCTCACACTTTTTTTCTATTAAAAATCAGTGACTTTATCATCAGATGATCCATAAATCCTACAAAAAAAAGATTGTTTTCAAGTTGTTAGGTTTTTTTATTATCAATTATAAACTTCTTGAACTCTGAAAAAGAGAATATTAACGTGAACATGTGATTACCCTCTACCCAAACACTTAAAAAAAAATCTTATTCCTATGCATATTGTATATTGGAATATTATCACTTTTCTTACTCAAATTAATTAATTTTCTTTCTTTGTTTTGTTCACTCATATGGTGGAATGGTGAAGATGAGTGGAATATAGATAAGGGAATGTGAACGGGGAAGGAGTTGGGTTCGGGGATGTAGAATTTTGTTAGAAGTGAGATTTTTCAAAACATAATATTATTAGATTGGCTTGTCTCAAAAGGGCCCTCGAAGCTTTCATTATTAATTCCTGCTCTGTGTATGATATCGTTTTTTTGCCCTTGGAAGTTTGTGCTGATTGAAGCCAATTGTCTCTCATATTGTTATCATGTTGACAGCAGTTTTTCCTGTCTATTCGTTTCCCATCTTTTGTTCTCATCTTAGTTGCGTTAATAGATGGACAAACATAAGAGATATCTCTAATCCAGCCAAAAATCATTTAGACCTTGTCAATATCTTTAACAGGAGAAATTAAGACATATTGTTCACCATTGCTATCAAACTCCTCTTGACAAAGGTGAAGAAGGGAAGTGTGGGATGTTGGGTATGGCCTTCCACGTTTGAAACCACAACATCCTGCCTGATTCTTAGCTTGACAGATTTCTAGGGTTAAAAAATCACAAAGCTGCTCAAGGAAATTGCAAATGTCAACCTCCATATATACAAATATAATAAAGAACACCGAATTTTACCCCAACTTTGATGTGATTATGGGGATGAGGTAGTGTGACTTTCAAGTAATTATCATGGCACGATTATTCTAATACAAGAACAAATCACCACTATATCTATGTATATTCAGAAAATAAATTCCATGCAAGGCAAAAAACTATCGGCCACCGTGGAGTACTTCAGTTCCCAGCATCACCTTATCAGAAGCAAAATTAGGCAACGTGAAAAAATAATTTTAAGCCAATTTTTTTTTTTTTATCTAACGTCAAGCTCATTATAGTGTGGATATATATCATCTCACCATGAAGGAAAAGGTACAGGCCAGCTTAGTTGAACTCTCAGCATCACGAACATCAATGGATTCATGAATATTGTGGAAGAATTATCTTAAATGTGCCCACATAAATAGCAGGAGGGGTAGCTTTGAAACACCATGACGTGGGGTTTTGGCCTCCACACAGAAAAGTGATATTCCCATTGATATTATGTAGAGTGTAGCACACGACTTTATATGCCCAATTACTTCATTACAACCAGATCAGTTCATGCATGTTACTTGCTAGATAATTTGTTAATTTCGTCTATCAGGATGAATTCTATGTTTTGGCAAAATCACCATTGTATTTTTTCTTAATTTTCCCTTGATGATAGAATTATTAATTATTTATTTACTTATCGGATGGTCGCTGGACTTCATATTAGTCAACAATGCTATTTAATCATGGTAGCCTAATATGGCTGCTGGTGTTCACTATTTTAGAACTGTTCAAGAATATAATTAACTGACTGGCATAACTGTAATTTGTTGCCTGTCAGATATTTTTATTTTTTATAATATATGTAGGTTTTTTAAAGGTATTTTTGTATTTTTAAAAGTCCAAGTTAAAATAATTTTTTTTATGTATATATATAATCAAATAAATTTTCCTTCAAAAGGCTAACTTCTTGGGTCTTTGAACTACCCAGACTAAAAAAAGCCCTCTCTCAAATCCTAGACCTCGTCTCACAAATTTTAAACACCAATTCCTATTAGAAATTCTAATTTAATTTAACATTAGGGACGTTACCTAGATATCATTAAAACAAAAAAAAGATTCTGCAATAATCTTCTTTAAACTGAGTAAATCCAATGGAATGTCATTAAACAAGAAATTTCTACGCAGTTTCATCAATCTATCTTGCAACAGAAGTAAAGGAAGGAGAATGGAGGGATGGTGACATGATTTTCATGCACGCACACTCAAGAGGAAGCATACAAACACCAACGATGAACAAAACGAAACAAAGAGTGAAATATAAGTTATTTGAATAGTTACAAGCTTAAGAAGATGAGATAATCCAAAAAGAAGGAAAAAGACAGATACAATTAAGTGAATTCTTTGGAAATGTTTGTCAGTACTTCTTAGAAAAAGTTGGCTTCTCAAACAGTTGGATTGGTTCTGTTTGTGTTTGTTCTTGAAATTGTTTTTTTATGAAAGACCTTACAAATTCCTCTATCCCTATCCAGTCACTGCTTTAGTCTTCTCTTAATAGGAAAATAAAAATAAAAACAAATAGGGTTACACTGCAATTATCTGAGACATGGAGCGTGGGTTGTTCTTCTTTTCTTTTATTTTTTCCCCCCTCCCTTCTTTTCATCCCTTTTCTCTTTATCTTTCTTGGTTGTAATGTATCCCTTTTCAGGGAAGATGACCTTTTTAGTCTCCATGTGCCCCCATCACCTTCAACCAAGGTAGTGGATCATCTCACATGAAAGACAAACACCTTAAGCGGATGATGATCTGCTGACCTAGGAGTGCATGAGTTCTTTCAAAAAACAAGGGGAAAGGTGAGGGAGGAGCACTACAAAGCTTGCAGCTTTCTTGCATGTGTCGCTATCTGGCAGCAAGAACATGGAACTTCAGTGTTATCTTCAGTTGTGAAGCACTACGGGAAAGTAAAACGAACAAAAAGTGACCAAAAAGAAGTTATAAGTGGTAACATGTCACCCTAGAAAGAATAAAGATAACGAAGGTGCGATTTACAACTAAAAAAAGGCTTCTTTAAATTGACATATGCTTTTGCAAGGAAGGATCTAAGAGCTTTTCTTTTCTTTCTTTTTTCTTTTCATCTTTTTGAACACTAAGGATCTAAAGAGCTGGGATTTGCTATCTTATTGTTTAGTTCTTGTACTAGTAAAACATATAATTAATGAGAAAAGGTTAGCACAACAAACCCTAATCATCAATGGAGATGTTGGGAAGCTCATAATCTAGGCATCTTTCCAGCCCACAACCCTCAGAAATTTCTCCCAAAGTTGAATGGATCAGCTCAAGCAACAAACCATGTGAGTGGGGTGAGACTTATCTTTAAATCCAAAAAGAGAAGTTTTTGCCTGTGAAATCCAAAAGTCAAAGCATCAAATCCAAGAGATTAAAAGCCCCTTCCTTTATAAAAGAACCAATGTGCAACAGTATATTTGTAGCCTTCATTTCACGTAAATCAGATGAAACTTAGCATGGACCCATCTTTCACAATAAATAATTTATGGTCTGCCATTATTTATTTATGCTCTTGCATGACAAGATATTTTTTCCTCGGGATAACATATTATAATTTATAATCATAACATGAACATATATATTTTGGTGTTTTTCACGTATCAATTAATTACAGGATCATTTTCTTCTGGTTTATATTCTCATCCTCCCCCATCGATTCGACCAAATCAACATCTGTTTTGCTCTTGACTTTCTTATCCACTAGAATCATGTCTCAAACTCTACCAACCCCATGACTTCGTGTTTTTTTCAGTGTTATCAACAAATAAGAGGAGAAGAATTAATTCCTTAATAATAAGAAAAGGTGGGGCTGAGAAGCCCAGATGATAGAATGATTGAGCTGGTGATGGCCATTAACTGGTAATCGAGAGGAATATGAGAAATCATCAGTGGTCAACGAAATTGTGATATTATAACCTACAGGAAATGAGCCTGTTGCCTCTAGATAGAAGCCGGCCTGTTGGCTACTAATCCAGCCCTGGTTTAGCCTCAGTCTGCTGGTTCATAAAAATTTCCAAAGAAGTACTCCACCAGTTGGGCACCCAGGTTTCTGGGCTATATATACTTGCTTTCCTATTCCTAGGAACAATATGGGCCTATGAGATCCAATAGCATAGTTCCTGGATCTAAAATTTGTAGAATGCTCTTGCTTCTCCTCTCTGTTCTTAGGGTGCCATTTTCATGAAATCGTTGCCCTGCTTGGGGCTATTTCATGTACCTTTCCCATCATGCTGCGAACCGAAGAAGATTATGCAGAACTCAGACTTTCGACAGCCGAGCATAAGGAGGCATAGTTTAGCATAATTCTCATTACATCTTTTGATGAAAATTTTAAAATTTTAAAACCATAAATCTAGTAGTTCATTAATTATATTACATAATATACTATCATTTATATACTAAATATGTTTATGAGATGGAGATATATTTCTTTAGTCTACAAACATAAACTTCATAGTATCAAATATGTTGCATATATGCGGAACATCCATGGCATCATGTTTTTAATGTAGATTTTGTTTGTTTTTATATTTCAAAAATATTTTAAAAAATTAAAAAATATATTTTTTTTGTATTGTAAATTAATTTTTTTATATTTTCAGATGATTTTAATTGTTAATATAAAAAATAATTAATTTTTTAAAAAATTATTTTGATACATTTCTAAATAAAAAATATTTTAAAAAACAATCATTACTACACTCTCAAATATCAAAAACCATAAATATTGAAAATTAACTATTGAAACTTTAATATATACACACACACAAGAAAAGTAAATAAATAAATAAACAAACAATATCTCTTATTATTTTCAAGCCCTTAACTATGTGATATGTGCTGAGACAAGTACAATTAATTGATTGAAAAATAAAAATTAACACCAGCAATACATTTGATGACGTTCCACATATTATTTAGGACATAAAAACACAATTAAATATTGGAATTACCTTAGAGATTCCATCCACATATAAACATACGTAGTTAAGTATTTTAACCGAAGAAACCTTTAGTAGTCTTGGTCCGGTTGACAGATGAAAGCACTGAAACTAAAGCCGTGCAAACAAATCCAAAGGCAAGAGCACTGGTAGCTATAATCCCCTTGTTTAGGAACTTATCGTAGAGAGCCTTGCTGTCTTCTGTATCTTGAAAACCAGCAATTGCAAAAGCATCAAACAAGTCTTTCAAAAGGGATTTGATCTCAACACTAGCTGCAAAACCAGCACCAACACCCGAGGCAAGAAGGAATGCGATGATCTGCGAGGATAAGTCACTATTTTAGCTTCTTGTGGGCAAAACAATATTTCTTGCTAAAATAGTTATCTACAAAAGATTCGAAAGGTCCACAGGAGTAGAACGGTTGGATCAACCAAAGACAATTATGTGCTCATAATATATGGAAAAATTCATAAAAGAATTCAATACAGACTTGTACATATTAATTGAAACGAAATGGCAATTGCTATATAATCAAGAATGAAGCTTGGTCGCTAGTGTAATCACCTAAGGAGAAAATTAGGTGTTTGTATGTTTAATTTAGATGTAATTTTGATTAGCTTTGTTTAAGGGATGTAAAAGCATTTGTTAGTGATCCTTGGCTTTGTGTTTTTAGTATAAAATCTGACCTTGTCGCCATATAAGTCAAGCTCCGGCAAGATATCGAGTTTTATCAACCTCTTCTCTGTCAAAGCATAGTACAAAGCAAAGGGTAATTGCAAGAGTGTATAGGCTGCCCCAATTACCGCCGTCGAGAGTACAAACCTGAAAGTTTTTCACTACATCAAATTACAACAAGAAAATGCGTAAAGAAGACATGTAACAATTACATAACAAAATACTAAGAATAAAAATTTGTAAGAACGATGTTTGATTATGAAATATTGTGTACCTGTATGTGGTGAGATCCTTGAAAGTGACCTTCGAGCCATCATCAAACACTGTATCACGAAAAGTATTGGTAATAAAAAGCACCACACAAGCAACTAAAGCTAGGAGAGTGAAGATCCTCAGCACAAGGGTTGAGATTGCTATAGCTCTAGACCCCATATCACTGGATGTTGTATGCCTGTAGTTTGTATGGGTTGTGTTATTGACGACTCTTTTTTATTTCTGCCTTTTGTAGATATCAATTGAGACGAGACGCGAAAGAAGCTTGCCATTTCTCGGTTATGTCGCGTAAGTTTGGCAGAATTTCTGTGTTTTCTAGGCTTCGGTCGACAGATTCAATGGCCGGACAAAATTGTTGGAGTTCAGGGTTAGACATGTATGGATGCTAAGCTGATGTCCGTCTTCTAACTAAATCCTTGACAGCATAGAAATCCAGGCAAACATCATAGGGAATGTCATCATGTGTAGTCTTCAAATATTTATCCATGTGGAATTATACTGTATTGCCCATCATATATGTTACATCCTAGCTTTGAGTCCGGATTTTTTTTTTTTTGAAAAGTAAAAATAATAAAAAATAATATAAATTATATTTTTATAACAACTTTAATAATCAAGTGATATAAATCATATTTTAGAATTTTATCTTTGTTACAATTTAATTCTAAAACTTGAATGGACTCCATACGTTCGAGTACCTATACTATTAAATTATAGACCTTATGATAAAAAAATAAAAATAAAAATTATAGATCTAGTCTTATATACGAACAAACCATTTCTTTTCTACACGACGTGGATTCCTGTGTGATTTCTTTCTAGTTAGATCTCAGGCCTAGGTGATTGGATGGGCCGGCCATTGTTATATCGTAAGTTCATAACTAGATTTAGATTTGTCGGCCTGCACTACCCCGGGTCACAATATTTTCTTTCTATTTGTCTTAAAAATTGACATTCAGCGATAAAGAATGTCTCAAAGAAGTGTAAAAAAAAAAACTGACTTAAGATTAGAAACCAGCTAAGCAAGAAAATTATTATAATCTAATTAGATAATAAAAAAATAAAAATCCGAATCAATTTAGGCTAATTCATTAAATCTATAGTATAAAATGATAAAACCGGAATAAATAAATAGAAAGAAAATTATGGAGCACGATATAAAAAAAAAATTAATCTTGAAACATGAAACCAGAAAAAAAAATTATCAACTAATTTAATATTGTAGGATAAAATTTAAAAACCGGAATAAATAAATAGAAAGAAAATTATGGAGCATGATAAAAAAAAAAAATTAATCTTGAAACGTGAAACCAGAAAAAAAAAATTATCAACTAATTTAATATTGTAGGATAAAATTTAAAAATAATTAGAAAAAATTGTCAAGGTAAATTCAACAAAAGAATGATAAATACAAGCGCAAGCATTTTCAAATTCACTAAAAACATTTTATAGAAAGAAGATAAATAAAAATAACAAAGTTTAACCTTCAATTGAATAAATATTAAAGAACAAAATTAAAAAATATATATAAGCTCAAGAAAAGGAGAGAAAAAAAACTAATTGAATTTGGACAAACCTCATAAATCTGGTAATTCTTCAAAACTTATAGCCCACGAAATTTTAGACCCGAGCTAAACTCATAACCCGTGAAATTAAAAAAAATCACAAAGTTGAATTTCCAGCCAATTTAATATTTAAGGATGAAAATGAAAAAAAATATATCAATTTAAAAAAATCCAAAGTAAAACTTAGCAATAAAAAATTAGGGTTAAATCTAATAGAAAAAAATAAAAAGGATGAAATCATATAAAAAAATTAATTTTAAAAAACATTTCAAACAAAATAAACTTGACCTGAGGTAACATATATATATATAAATAGAATAAAATAAATTTGGCCTGAGTTAACTTGCAAAACTCACTACTCAACATATGAGATAGAAATAACCTCATAAATGAATGGAATTGAAAAAAAATTTAATTGTAAGAAAAAAAAACTTAAATTAACTCAAGTTAACCTTTCAAATTTAACTGTAGTCTGGGTTTTGATGTTGAAATTATCTCATTGAAGGCAATTATTAAAAAACAATGAAGTTAAATTCTCAATCCACAAAATGTTGATGGGTGAAATTTTAAAAAAAAATCAATAAAAAAGAATATAAATAAAACAAATAGAAATTATAAAAATAAAAACTAAATTTGATATAAAAATAAAATAAAATTTTGATGGATATAATTAAAAAAATCAATTAAAAACAATAAAAAGAACGAGAATTAAATCTAATAGAAAAAAAATTAGAGGATAATATATATATATATATTATTTAATATAAAATGAATAGGAGTAAAAAGAACATGAACAAAATTTAAATTAAAACTAGTTTAAAAAAAATAAAAGTTAATCTAAATTAATTTTTTAAATTCATGATTTGGAATTATAACATAGAAAGAAATACATGAAAATCATATAACCAAATTCCTGATTAATAAAATCCCGACTAATAAAATGTTTAAATGAAATTCTATTTTTTTAATAAAAATTATAAGAAATTGATCTGAAAAAATAAAGTTTTGAGGACAAAACTAATAAAAAGAGACCGGGAACAGTGAATTGCAGTAAAACCCAGATTTCTTTTTTATTATTGTATTGTAATTGTAATTGTGCTGTTATGTAATGGAATTGCAACTATTAATAATAATCAACAATTAATTAATTAATAAAGATGGAGCATTAATTACTTGTGACTGGAATTCGTAAATGTTCTCTATTTGTTAGACTGTTCTGCTTTATCAAGAAAGAATACTTACTCCCTGCTTTAAATCGTAAAGATTTTTTTTTTTTTTTTTAAGGAATGGGACTTTTAGCCATAATATTTCTTACTTGAGAAAAATGTCAATTAGCTCAAGTCTCCCCCTAATTTATTAATTTTCCATTAAAGATATAACTTATTTTGGCTGCAAACAATTCTTAAGTGCTATAAAATATCAAATTATTATATTGAACTTACGACATATGAATCATTTGACTGATCAAACCCAGGTTGTCATTTGTAGTCTTTCACGAGGTTCAAAACGCTAAGAACATGTAAAACCACACAAATAGACGGGCTACTGATCACCATACACAAAGAAATGACGAGTCCCTATAGAGAACAAATTAAGACTACCATGCATGTATTTGCATAGCCACCACAGATCAAGAGTAGACGTGGTCCCTAATGGCTCGACCTAGTACTGCAGATATCCAGAATTCTGCTCTAAAATTTGGAAACTTGTATATGAACCCGTGAAGCATATACAATTTACAATTTCTATTAATCTAGCAAAATGAAGAAAACACAAATCCCAGAAGTATTACTAAGTTCTGGTCATAAGATGCCATTGATAGGGATGGGAACTGTATCAGTCCCTCTTCCACCATCAGAAATTCTCGTCCCCGTTTTCATTAATGCCATAGAAATTGGTTATCGCCATTTTGATAGCGCTACTCTTTATGGCTCTGAAGAGTCCCTTGGGCAAGCCGTGGCTGAAGCACTAGACCGAGGCCTTGTAAGCAGTCGTGAAGATTTGTTCATTACTTCCAAGCTGTGGTGCTCGGATGCTCACCATGATCTTGTTCTTCCAGCACTCAAGAAGTCACTCCAGTAACTATAACATCACACCCTGATTATATATAAGTCCTATAATATTTATTGTGATTTTTTCTTTTATTTGTTTGTTTTTATGATTTTGTTAGGAGGTTGCGATTAGAATATGTGGATCTTTATCTGATTCATATGCCAGCAAGGGTAAAGCAAGAAGTTGAGGGCATAAATTTTGCGGAAGAGGATTTGCTGCCCTTTGACATAAAAGGAACATGGGAAGCCATGGAAGAGTGTTCAAGATTAGGTTTGTGCAAGTCCATCGGTGTAAGCAACTTTAGTTCCAAAAAAATATCTCAGCTTCTTGAACATGCAACCATCTCTCCTGCCGTTAATCAGGTTTTTTTTTCCTTAATCATGATTGTTTTATTGAGAAGTAGTTATAAATGATTAAACAATTAATAGTAAAAGTTATTATAGAAGGAATAATACAAAGGAAAATAAAATATATTTTTTTTCCTTGATTACCTTGATTGTTTAATATATTGTTAAATAATATTGGCTTATTTATTAAGAGTAAAATAGTATTTTTAGTTTAATTTATATACACTTTCTTTGTATTTAAATTAATATCAAGCATTTATAATAAATAAATCATAGATTATTGAGAATTTTAGTTTTTTTTTTGTGTTTGTTTTTAATTATTTTGAGAATTTTAGTTTTTTTTTTTGTGTTTGTTTTTAATTATTTTAACATATACGAGCTGAATTTATCTCTAAATCATAACATGTAAAAGTAAAACGCTTCTGGCTAACCTATAACAAAGAAAAAGAAACAAAATAAAGTTATTGAAAAGCATCTTTCTACATTAGGTTGAACCTCATTGAAAGCTAAGTCGATTTCTATCTAGTCAAATACTCCAAACAATTCCAACAGATAGGAGCTGTCATGCCTTCCTCTGAAATTTTTCAAAAACCATGTGAGACCATTCAAATAGTAAGTTATCTAGTGAGTTAGGAACACACAAAAAGACGCTCCATGCACCATGTCATAAACTTAGTCAACAATCTCCATGCAAATGAGAAGTGAACCAGTACATGTTATGTTGTTTTACATATCAATTGTACATAAAGGACAAACTCTATTGGTGTAGATTATGCCTTGAACTATTAACCAAACAAAAGCCTGTATTTTCAGTGGAGCTGTAGATATCCAGACCCTTGTTTGGAAAAAAACAAACATTTGAATTCAAATATGTCAATCACATAAGAAGAACTCTTGATTGTAAAGTTACCGTCTAGACATGTATTCCATATCTTTCTATCATTTCTATCCTGCAGTAGATTAGCCGACGATAGTGATTGATGTAGAGCTTCAAACTGCTAAGATTCATAAACGTGGAAAGGCTTTCTCCACTTTAAATCCCATGTCCATTCTCCATTTATTCAAACTCCCACATGTGATATTGTTGCTGGTGGTGTGCATGTAAGCATGAATAGTCTCGGGAAAGACAACTTGACGATTGTATTTCCTAGCCATTTTTCATTTCAAAATGAAACATTTGTCCCATTCCCAACTACAAAGCTTATACAATTTCGCATGAATGTAGCAATTTCATGCCCCGGTTTTATGACCGGGACTATACCTTTTCAAATGCTTGGTAATCTTGCACTAATGATGTAAAATGATAATACTATTATCCTTCAATTTATATTGTCTTCGATCCATGATGATGTTATAATTAAAGATTAATGATGGAATTGAAAATTGTTACAGGTGGAAATGAATGCCGCATGGCAACAGAAAAAATTGCTAGAATTCTGCAAAGAGAGGAATTCACGTGAGTGCATGGTCTCCTTTGGGGGCCAATGGAGCTTCCTGGGGTTCTCTTGCAGTGATGGAGAGTCCAATCCTTAAAGAAATTGCTGCTGCAAAAGCAAAGTGCGTTGCCCAGGTGAATATTTCTTTCCTTTTTTCCCCTTCGCTGAAGCTTTTTATTATTTACTAACCACTGAATTATATAACAAATATGTCAATAGTTGACATATATGTGATTAATTAATCACAAATATACATACAAAATTGATTCATAGTTAACATGGATATATAAGCAGATTGCTCTAAGATGGATACACGAGCAAGGAGCGAGTGTAATTGTTAAGAGTTTCAACAAGGAGAGGATGAAACTCAACCTACAAATCTTTGACTGGGAATTGAGCACAGAAGATACAGAAAAGATTAAGAATATTCCACAGCGAAAGGGGTTCTCAGGAGAAATGTTTATTTCTAAAGATTATGGTCCTTACAAGTCATTGGAGGAATTTTGGGATGATGATATTGATAATTACCAGTGAATGATATCTCTCCACCAAGTCAATAAGCATGTATTTGGAATTTCTATCCCCGTATGTATCTATCATCTTGTACAAACTAATATAAATTTATATTATTTTATTTTAAATTTTTATTGAATAAAAAATGTTTGATAAAACTACTTGATTAATAAAACTCTAATATAATATTAAAAAAATATTTTAATTTAAAAACTTAGAATATGAGGTAAGATCCCAAAATATAATTTATATAATTTTTTAGTAATTTTTAAAATCTAATTTTATATAATTTTGTGGCAATTAAAATAAATATTTATAAGAAATATAATAATTTAAATTATAGAATAAAAATAATATTAGACAAATTTACTTTATTTATGTAATTTTTTTGGCAAAAAAAATATCTTTTTTATTTAAAAACTAAAGGTGATTAATATAAATATTTGTAGGAATTTCAGTTATTTGAATTAAAGAGGAAAAAAATTATAATTTTGATAAAAACTTCATTTTCTTATTTATGCCTTTTTTTTCTTTTGACAAAATTTTTTTTATTAGAAGTATTGTCTTTTTAAATAAAAACTTGTCTTGACTTAAAAAGCAAGTTTCACTTAAGAAAAATTCATGACTCGATAATTTCTGCATCACTATGAGAAAAAATAAAAGTATAATTAGAATTCTAATTTAGTCAATTACTATTTAGTGTTATCACGCAATGCCATGAGATAGTTTTTAAAATATAATTTTATATAATTTTATGGTAATTAAAATAAATATTTATATGAAATACAATAATTCAAATTCTGAAGAAAAAAACTCTTTTGTTAGCCATATTTTATTTTTTTTATTTATGTATTCTGTTTATTTACAAAAATATGTTTTTTATTAGTATAATGTTCTATGAATAAAATTAAAGGTAATTAAGATAAATATTTATAAAAAATAATAATTTAAATTAAGAAGGCAAAAAATGTTTCTCTTTAATCAAAATTTTTTTTCCTTATTCATATCTTTATTTTTTATTTTGAAAAAAGTATTTGTTTATCAAAATATTATTTTTAGAATAAAAAATTATTATGACCTTAAAAGAAAGTTTTAATATTAAAAAAAAAACCATGACTAGATAACTTTTATGTGACTGTAGGAAAAAAATAAAATAATAATTAATCTAAGAAAATTATATAAAAACTTTAATAAAAACTGTAATTGAGTTAATTACTAGTCAGTATTATCATATGATTTTACATGACAGTTTTTAAAATCTAATTTTATGTTCATTAAAATAAATATTTATAAGAAACACAATAATTTAAGTTCTGAGTAAAAAAAATTGTTAGGCAAATTTTCTTTTTCATATTTAAGTATGTTTTTTTACAAAAACATGCATGTCTTTTCTGTTAGGAGAATGTTCATTAAATAAAAATTATAGGTAATTTAAGATAAATATTTATAAAACTTCCAGGGATTTGAATAAAGAAGGTAAATATATATATATATATATATATATATAATGAAAACTTCATTTTCTTATTCATGTCTTTCTTTTTTATTTTAACAAAAATATTTTTATATCATAAGCATTGTTTTTTAAATAAAAATTTATCATGAGCTGAAAAGCAATTAATATAATGGTCTCCCGAGTTATTTATCAATGTCACATGCTATTAATTTTTCTATTTATTTATAAAATCTTATATTTATAAAAAAATATCTTTAAAAAATCATCTCATTTATCAATTTTTTATTGGTCAAAAAATATATAAAGATCCATTTATTTTTCATATTATTTATTTTTATTTTATTTTATTTTATTTTTTATGTAAAATTAAAATAAAAATGTCACATGTGAAAATTGATTTGTATAATTGTTTTTAATTTTTACATGGTAAAAAAAGTGGAGGCATGTATAAATGAGCCGGTTGATCCACCAGAGAGAAAAGACCTGTCACCAAATAAAGCAAATCCATTAATCCTCCGACTCTCAGATAACAGGCAGAAAACTGCAGTTACATCCATTCAAGGTGGACCAACGAAGAACTGGTAAAAACATTATTCTATAAAAAAATGTCTGCTCTTCCATTTGGTTTATATTCATCTATAGATAATAAGAATTTGCTCTAATCATCCACCTTCATTAACATCAATAGCCAAAACTCAAAAATTCCGACTTTTTTTTTTGTACTGAAACGCAAGCCCACAGTCTCCAAGATATGAAGTAATCTGCGGCATTTAGATATGAATTTATATGCAATATGAAACGAACCTATGGATCAGGAAATTGCTTAGACGTTGGATAAATTACAGCTATATGCATACCTCCACCACCAGCTGTGGTCCTCAGCAGCAAGTTGTAAATGAATCAATGCCACCGTAATTAAAGCGGTGACTATCAGAAGAGTAATAAAGATGATGAGCAAGATGCTGTAAATGGTATAAATCCTATGACACCACACACTAGCAAAGATTTAGTAAAGTTCGGTGTATACAAGAATGAATGGCAGAAATCCCGCAATTGCCATTTGACGAACTGTTCGCCGGTACCATTGCAATGGTGGAATCTCTCTGGGATATCCGGCGGTGCGACAAGGAGCTTGGAACTCAGCCTTACTATTCTTCCCAATAATTCCACCTAAACCGATCAAAGGAGATGATACAAGTCTCCATATAAGAGCTATCACGAGCTGCTGCGGCAGTATATGCAACTGACTGATCAAAAGAATATAATCAACCAAGGAGACAACACTTACTTGACAAAGTCATATTGTCAAGGATTCGCAAGATTGCAGCAAGAAGAACTGCCATGCATGGATTTGTAACGGAATTCCGATGGACCTCTAAATTTGAAGGTAAACCCATTCTGAGAGATTCAATTCTAACCTGGCAAGCGATTCCTAGGTCATAATAGCAGCAGCTTTCGCTGAAAACTCGAACAAAGCATTATTAATCTCTAACATGACCGTGTCTGAAAAACATGATGACAACAAGTTGATTGTTTTGAGCTTTTGACGTGGGACGTCAAAAAGAGCTTTTCAAGTATTTTCTAACAAAAATTATTTTTGAAAAAAAATTACTTTCAATTATATTATTAAATAAATGCTTAAAACTGAATGATTTTTTTTTATGCAAGCTGATGCACAATAAAGATAGCAACAAGTAAGAAAGACAGATAATGGATCGAAAACCAAAAAGAATTATCACAGTTTATTTCTGAAATCGAGTTTAAATAAGTCTGAAACCAAGAAAGAAAAATCAGAATTTCTAAGCAAAATGGAAACTAATAGAAAATCTATGAAAAAAAATCAAAGAAAAATAACAAAACTATCTCAAATAGCATTTTGGGACCTAATTTGTGGTCTTATAGAGCTCGGCTAGATTCAGCAAGTTCGTAGAATCATATGAAAAAAATTTAAATCTAATCCAACTGTTTAATCAAAATTTTAAACTTTTTATTGTCATTATATTAGTCTGGTATGAACATAGCTCACTCTTTACTGTACTAGAACCTTCATTTTCTATATTGGTTTTACGATGTGGATTCTGTACGTAATTATGTGAAACAGAAGCATAAATCATACCATATCTAATAATTTCTTGAATTTAAATTGTGAAGGAGTGCATGACTCATTATATCTAGTAATTGCTTTATTTAATTTATGGAGAAATAGGAAGGAAAATATTTAAAGGAGTTGTTCGTTGCGTTCATGACGAAATTGAATTTATATGATTTAATTGTGTCGATTTTTTATAGGAATTTTTATGAAACTTTTACACAAATTTAAATTGAAGACATTTCCATTGATGCTTGCTACAAACCCGAAGATGTACAGAAACCAACATAACAAAAGGATGCATGCAAGCCAGCCAGCCACCAGGGCTTGAACGAAATCATCGAGGCATTCTCACCACACCATAAAAATCAAAAGCATCAGACATTACCAAGCTTAAAATCCCTTAGATACCCTCACTGTGCTTCCATCAAAGTCAAATAGGATGATTCCGGGAAGTACTAGCCTGGAGCAAGCCAAACAAAATTGGATAAGCAGCTCTATTTCACATGCTATTACTAATAACCTAAAAAAAATTGTCACAGATCATGTACAACAAGATTCCTCCTCCACCAGATCAGACAAGGTGAATAAAGAAAAACCCTAAGAATACACTGCCTGAAAAATTACAATTATGGTGAAATTTAAATACAACTTGCCAAGGGCGAGGAAGGGAAGACATCACCAATGAAAACCAAACACACCTTTCAATGCATGCAGCTATGCGACGGGGCATGCCCGCTTCCCGGATCAGTTTAAATATATTACCAATATCAGTTGTTTAATAGGTAACCAATATCAGTTGCTCCTTCCGTCCACAAAGAAGAATAAACTCTATCATGAAGAAACCAGCAGCATGTTGTCACCACCATGAAAAATCTCCAGTCAGTTCAAGCTGATATGGGCTCATAAGGGTATGATAGCCATGGGTGCTTCAGAGCCTCGGATGCAGAAGGGCGTTTCTTTGGGTTTACTTCAAGTAAATGAGAAACAAAGTCAATGAAGCCTTGGTCCCCCATTGGCAAACGGTGCCTCAGGGATGTCTTCTTAGGTATCAGGTACTCCAGTCTGCTAGTATCCTGAAGATTAGAGAGAATATTTAGCACAAGCCAAACATATGATATCCAGATTTGACGTTTGACATCCTAATTTTTGAACTCTAAAAACTACAAGCAACTACATCACCAGGAAGAATGTTTACCAGATTTCGCTCATAAAGCATGTGATTCTTGGTAAAATACTTGTATGTATCTCGTCCCTTTGCTAGCATGTTTTGATCAATGGGACCTATAATTCCAATAACTCGCGCAAGCAACGTTGCTGGTGAATCATTTTGGAATAGGACCTGAAACAAAAGTTTCATTTTAGCCAAATGGTACCAGGGAAACAGCTAGGTAACCAAACTATGGAAGGTCCAAAGCATCCTCGCTTCAAGTGGTGTTAGAAAATCGTTCAAGCAGAAGAAAAGATCTCCAGATCAATTAGCCCTTACAGAAACTACTCAAGTATATCTCTGGAAGAAATATATGTTGAGGTTCAATTGATCAGAATATAAAGATGTTTCCCCCATGGACAGAATAAATAAATAAATGCATCACAACATCAAAATGAGGGTGACATTTAAATTGATAAGAATAACAAAAATATGTATGCAGCCATAAAAAGAAGAATAAATTTAGGAAGAAATATAGCTCTCTCTCTATATATATATATATGTATATATATATATATATGTGATTTTCAGAACCTCAGCTGCACCTGCTTATCAGCATTAATTCCATTGTTCTTTCCTATCTTTTGCATTTCAGAACTATGTTCTCATATCCCAACCTTTTCACCTTGAAACATACTCTCTAGCCATCTTCACACAAAACCAACTCAATTCATGAAACACAATGACCACTGTCTTTTGGCCAAGTCCCTCAAGGAGCATATACTCTTCAGTTTTATATGACAAGTCCTAGTAATTATATGCATGCGTGTGATATCATTCTTCAGCAAGTAGTCTTTATGCATTCTCCATAAGTTGGGAAATTAAAATAAAACTCCATGTATGGTTGCTTGGCATATTTCCTCATGGATAACTCTCCCACATATTTATGTGACAAATCAGTAATTTTCGGCACTAAAGGGATCCAAAGTGTTTATGTAGAAATCTCTTTCATACTCACAGTAACTTGTGCATTCACTCATTGATTGGGAAATTATATGAAACTCTACTTCACCTTGGCTTAGTTCAAAAAAAAAAAAAATGGAAAGGAAAGGAAGAAAAGACTACAAAAGTTGTACAAAGACAATGAGATAAACAGATGCATAGACAACAAATACATAGCACCACGCCCCTGCTATTCTTACAATTTCATCCCCGGCATGAAACTTATTGGGTAAATTAGTAATGGGAAAAACTTACATTGCCAGTGCAAAGCTCTGCCAAAATGCAGCCAAGTGACCAAACATCTATCTTCTTATCATATGGAAGTCCTAGGATAACTTCTGGTGCACGATACGACCTGGATTGAACATAGGAGCACAGATGATCTGTCTCAAAACAGCTACTCCCAAGATCAATGACTTTCACCTCACATCTACTATAGCTTTTCACCAATATATTCTCGGGTTTTAAATCACAGTGTATAAGACCAAGGCCATGCAAAAACTGAAGTGCCTCCAAACATTGAGTGGTAATTGACTGCATAGAGAATTTCAAAACGTTTATAGACCAGCATGCATGAAAAATAATATATTCTCTTCTTTCGTTTTTGGCAACAAGATAAAAAATTGAAAAGGCACCAAGTAATTAATATATAATTTTTGGAATGTCAAGAGGATAGAACTCCTAGGAAGAAAATGGCACACAACAAACCTGCAATCTTGGCATTGTGAAGTAAACCTCCCCTCCTGATTCTCTATTGAACTTATGAAACTCATATAAGTTTGCCTTCAGAAGCTCACATACAATTAACAAATGCTCCTGCAAAGCACATAGGAGTTGCAAGGTAATCTATTTAGCTTGCATTGAGGAGTTATCATGAACTTCACCCTCAAGAAATCAAATCAAAGCTTCATTTTTAGATTCATGTATTGTAAATGAAAAGGCATTCACTGATATATATGGCTATTAATTTTTCATTCTCAGTTCATTTTAACATGATGTTTACAAAACCAATGCCCTACATCTAGTGGTTGGGAGCAAGAGGTCCAACCGCTCAACCAAGGTTCAATCACTAGCACCAACAAGAACAATAAAGAAACGATGCCACATGTCAAAAACTAACCATGATTTGATAATTACTTAACCCAAGCACATAAATACCCAAGACATATTGTAGAGGGATATAGTAAACCAAAAACATTTACAGGGACATGGTAAACCTAATCAATATGCTACAAGGACATTTTTTAGCTTTGATCCATTTGTAGTGCATTACATTGAAACAGTGAAGAGAAGAATCTGTGAGCCATTTGAATTTCTTACCCAACCAAAATTAGCATAAGATAACAAGTGGTGTAGGATACCAATAGCTGCTCTAGACCATCTACTGCGATAAAATACTAAATCATTTAAACAAAATACAAAAAGGAAATCAAGAAAGTCAAGCATATATCCACTTACTCGGTAATAGAAGTAATCATACAATCTGAGAATGTGGTACTTGTCAGCAGGATCATGCTTGTTGATATATTTAAGAAGTTTTATCTCATCAAGACTTTGATCAAAGAAGTCCTTGTTGTTTTTTATAATTTTCACACAAACATCCATGCCTGTGTGCAGATCATGTGCTTGTATAGCTTTACTAAAAGCAGCTGAGCCAAGATACTCAGTAACATGATAACGACCAGCAATCACAGAATTCAAAACAACATGGAAGTTCTTGTCCTCCTCAAAGCCAGTTCTGACCAACAAAAGCAGATCAGGAAAGTCTGTTAGAATCAAGCTAATCGAACCAGAGTTCAAATGAAAAGGTCACTTGATTAACAATCAAACATTAATTAAAACAAAACAAATAGGTATCCAAATTTTCAGAATATGCCCAAATAAAGTGAGAAAAACACATACTATAAGGGCAATTCAACCCCCCAAAAAAAAAACATATTAATCCACTTGAAAATAAGACATCATCCAGCTCCAATATTAGAAGTTTTTGTCACAAAATTCAGCAAGCCAACAACTATTTCACAAAATAAAAGAAGGGGAAGGGCATGCCTAACTAAACATTACAAGCACACACCTCACTTCCACAGCGGTTGCTGGGATAGAGTGAAGCAGCAAGGTGATAGGGGCAGATGGAAATGGAAACTTTAGAAAATGAAGAATGGATAAAAAGTTATCCTGTTCTATAGTTGACACAAGACATAAATAAATGCAAGATTATTAATGTTGACAACAAAATGCACCCACCTGGGATTTGAATATCCACTTTTAGGGACAAGTTTTAATCGATCCTAACCAAACATTGAACAAAATAAACTTA